TTTGAACCTGCCACCTCTGGTATATGGGGCCAGCGCCCTATCCCTCTGAGCCACAGGCACCACCCCATACTTAGTAAATGTTAGCAAAGGGTATCACTGTATGTCATTTTGCAGCGCTAAGCCACTCCTCCTGGAGGCATGTGTTAGCCCTTCCAGGATGGTCCCTCCTCCAGACTCCTGATGCTCTTCACAGTCACATAACCATGTATTGAGTGCTGTTTGGCAATACTTACCTTCCACTGCCCTGTGTCTGCACCCAGGGGCTCATAGCAGGAGCCCAAATATTGTTGGTCAAACTCTAGATCTGTGGTCACAAATCAGCCAGGGCAGCTGCAAGGGCTCCTGCCCTGCCAAGAGTGGCTGAGTCCAGTCAAGCCCTGGGGGAGTGGGCCAAGATGGCCTGAGCCATGTAACAGGGTGGGGTTGTTCTTGGACTGAGCATCACCTGGACTTCTGGAGAGTCCAGAATAAGCCCCCTTCCCTGGGCTTATTTTCTAAAAAGACAGGTGGACATTTGATTGTTCCCTTTTGCTCTAACAGACCCTCAGCGCCCTCCAGGAGGAACAATCCAGACTAAAGATGAGGTTGCAGGAGCTGCAACAGCTGAAAAGGGAGCACAAGGGCTCCCCCCAAAACAAGGTAAGGTGTGTCTGGTAGAAAAGCACTGGGGAGTTCTTAGCTTTCTGGCCTGTCACTTTCTTGCTGTGTGATGTCAAATATGTTACTTGAATTCTCTAAACCTCGCTTTTCTCATATGAAAAGTGAAGCTACCTACTTCTCAGGCTTGTCAGAGGATGGAGATCTCCTATGTAAAGTGCCCAGTGTGGGCCTGACCTGTATTCATCCATATGTTTATTAATCCAGTCTTCTCTCAGCAAATGTATTCAGCCCTGGCACTCAGCACCAATCAAATGGAATCGGGAACACCTTCTTTCTAGGAGGGAGTGGGGTACGCTCCTATCCTTGAAGACTATATGAGCCTCTCCTCCCCCTCCCCCACCTCCAGCTCCCATTCTCAGTGCCTGAGATCCCTCTGGTTTTCCGAGGACACACCCAGCAGGACAGGAAAGTGCCCAAGTCTCTGATTTCCAACTTGCGCATCTGCTGCCCTCTGCCTGCAGGCTCTGCTCTGATCACCTTCGATGACCCCAAAGGTGAGTTTGGGGACCCACAGGAGGGAGACAAGGAGGTTTCCGAGTACTGACCCTGTCCCCCACCACCCAGTGGCTGAGCGGGTGCTGCAAAAAAAGGAGCATGTGATTGACATGGAGGAGTGCCGGCTACGGGTGCAGGTCCAGCCCTTGGAACTGCCTATGGTGACCACCATCCAGGTGACAGAATGGCAAGGGGTCTTGGAACAGGCAAGGGGTGCCATGCACCTGGGCACAGGGAGATAAGGCTGTATCTGGGACCACTCCCTCCTGTCTCCTCCTAGGTGTCCAGCCAGATGAGAGGCCAGGGAGTGTTGGTCAGTGGGTTTCCTGCTAGCCTGAAGCTGAATGAGGAGGAGCTGCTGGACAAGCTGGAGATCTTCTTTGGCAAGACAAAGAATGGGGGTGGCGATGTGGAGACTCGGGAATTGCTGCAAGGGAGTGTCATGCTGGGCTTTGTTAAGGATGAGGGTAAGGGCCCTAAGATGGAGATTGGGGTCCAGTCTGCATGAGGTTGAAGCCATGGGAGAGGAGAGGTCTTGACACTAAAGATCCACCTCTCCTTGTTCCCCACAGTGGCCCAACGCCTGTGCCAGACTGGCCAGTTCAGAGTGCCACTGGGTGGGTTGCAGGTCCCTCTGACAGTCTCCCCCTATATGAGTGGGGAGATCCAGAAGGCTGAGGTAAGTGGGAGGATGAAGAGGGGGGCTGGGTGGGTAACTTATCTGCTAAAAACTTGCCCAAGGCAGGATCAGAGGCTCCACATCCCACTGGTCAATCTGCCCCCAGCCTCTCCATGCCTCCCATGCTTCCCTGGGGCACTGCCCACCCCACCTCAGGGCTAGCCCCTTACTGTTCTTTTCCAGGTCAGGTTCCAGCCAGTGTCCCACTCAGTGCTGGTGTTCAATATTCCTGATGTCCTGGATGGCCCAGAGCTGCATGATATCCTGGAGATCCACTTCCAGAAGCCCACCCGTGGGGGTGGGGAGGTGGAGGCCCTGACAGTGGTGTCCCCAGGACAGCGGGGCCTGGCAGTCTTCACCTCCGAGACGTGCTAGGGGCCTGCCCTTCTCATCACCCCCAGCCCTCAGCCAAGGTTCTCAGTCTGGAGTGGGGCTAGGCCCACATGTAAGAGATCTTTGTGTTCACCAACAGGAGACAGGGATCACACATTGTGAAACACTGCACAGTAAATGCGCCTGCATGGCCTGATGTTCTTCCTCATTCTGTTCATGAAAGGAATCTTGATTTGGGCATGAAAGGAGGCTGGGGGGAGGGAAGCAGCCTTGACCTTATGCCAGTAGCACTGGCCTTCCCCAAGCTCCCCTGTCCCTCCACTCTCAGAAGCAACACCTCAGGGTTGGCTTTTTTATTGACACAAACACAAAAGGCAGCTTCGGCAATGGGGTGGGATACACAAAAGCAAAAATAGTACTTCACAGGCCTCATTTAGACAATGAAGAGTCTGAGCCTGCTCCCCCCACCTCCCATTGCAATGGCTGGGGCAGTAACCCTCCCTAATCCCAGCTCAGCTAGCAGAGGGAGTGACCCTCTGCCCCAGATGTCCCCATTTTGGTCCCAGTGGCCCAGGTCCTGACCAACCCCCTCTGCACCCCCCTGCTCCACCTCCCACCCATGTAAACAAAGTTTGAGGCTGAGTTTAAAACACTGCCCCCCTGCTCTGAGAAAGCAGTCAGGCCTCCCTTGACTACAAGGGGAATGTGCTTGGATTTTTACTTTGGTCCCAGAACAAGAAACAGCATTGCCTCTGGGAGCTCTAGCTAGTAAATGTCACACTTTATCTGCAAGGCTGAGGAAGCTTCCCCACCTAGACCCCCATAGAGGCAGGACATGGCACAGGCCATAAGGAGGGCACCTAGCTCTGCCCCAGCTACTGGCACACACACACAGATTTTTGGCAGTGTTGTGGGACTGGGGAGGACTGAAGCCCCAGCTCCACCAGAACTAGGAAGGCACTGGGGAGTACAGAGGTGGAGAAAGAGGTGGGCAATAGCCCCCCAACCCCCGCCAAATACACTAGCATAGGTTTTCGTTGTGAAGGCACTGAGAACAAATCCAGAGAACTCAGTGAAGGGTGGGGGGCTCTGTATCTCTCCCAGAGTCGTGACCTAGGGGAGCAGGGCTGATTCCCGCCCTTGTTGTAAGAGGCAGCCTTGGTTATGAATGGCAGAAAACCTAGGGGTGTAAGAAGCCCAATTGTGCTTAAGAAGTTGGGGACAGAGGACATGGTTGGGGGCTGGTCAGGCCCAGAGGTGGGCATGGTTGGCCCAGAGTGAAGGGACACTAGGGAGAGACATATATGCTGGACTGGCACAGTATTGGCCCCATATCCTGAGCTGACAATCCTATTCTTTGGGGAGGTGGTGGGGCAGGGGCAGGAGGAAAGGTGAGGCAGCAGTGGAAACACACAGAAAACGGTGAAAACACATAGAAAATGGGGATGCGGGGAAGGACTGGCTGACCTTGGCACAAAAGCAGCACAGCAGGCCCAAGGGGAAAGGGTGGGGGCAGGGGGCAGGAAGCAGCCAGCCTCCCTCTGACCCTCCCTGTCCCCTTGGCAGGGCCCAGACATCCAAGTGGTCACTTCCCAACCTCTTCAGAGGGCAGGAAGGGGGTGGGGGCAGCCCTGGCCAAAAAGAGAAAACAGGGCAAGGGAGTGGCCATAGCACAGAGACCTGCGGAGGAGGGAGGGCACAGCATTACTATGGAGGATGAAATGCAAAGTCTGGTGGTCAACAGGACGTGGCTTCCCAACTTTCCCCTTCCCAGGTCTCTAGGGTCCCACAGCCTCTTGCCCTAATTCTCCTTCTCTGGGCCAGGAACCAGGAGGACTTTGCCCACATTCTTCTTCTCCTGCATCTGCTTCATGGCCTCAGCCACCTAGGGAGGAAGAGAAGCCGCTGCACTCAGTACTATGGTACTGCCTGAGACAAGAGCCCTTCTCCCCAGGACTCTACCCCTGGGAACCCCAACCTCCAAAGGTCCTACCTGGGCCCTCCCTGCAGAGTCGTCACACTCACCTTCTCAAAGGGCCACACTGAGTCAATGTGAGGTTTGATGTGGCCCTGGTTGTACAGAGCCAGGAGGCGAGCCACCACACCACTGACCAGCTCCACCTCACCTTCCAGGTAGCCCAGGTGGAAGCCGCATACAGCTCGGTTGGCCTGCAGCAGCTGCAGAGCTGTTATGCTGAATTGATTCCACCACGTGCGGGCCAGGGCCATCAGGTTCCGCTTGGGGCCAGTCAGCAGGTTGGCCATTCCTGAAAGATGAGGTGACACGGCCCATGGATCCAGGTGCCAGGCTCTTCCCTGTGTGTCTCTATGCTCCTTTGCCTTCTCACGCACCCACTGTGATTATCCTTGCCAGTGCCAGGGCCTCACAGTCAGGATAATTCCCAACCTGCTGGTTACCAGGCCCAAACCAACTGGCTGACTCAAAAATTGCTCTAACTTTTATTTGTTTATTTTTTGTGTGAAATATTTATTTTTTTATTGTTGAGACAAGAGTCTCACTTTATCACCCTCAGTAGAGTGCCATGGCATCACACAGCTCACAGCAACCTCCAACTCCTGGGCTTAGGCAATTCTCTTGCCTCAGCCTCCCAAGCAGCTAGGACTACAGACGCTGACCACAATGCCTAGCTATTTTTTTGTTGCAGTAAGGCTGGGGTCGGGTTTGAACCCACTACCCTCGGTGTATGGGGCCAGCACTCTACCCACTGAGCCATAGATGCCACCTGTGAAATACTTTTAAATGAAAATGTACCTTGCCCAAGAAGCCCAGGGAGTTAGGACAAAAGGAAGGCAGACTGATCATTCAGGAATAATCCCTAAATAATAACTACAGAGGCTCGGCGCCTGTGGCTCAAGTGGCTAAGGCGCCAGCCACATACACCTAAGGTGGCAGATTCAAATCCAGCCTGGGCCCGCCAAAAACAACAATGACGGCTGCAACCAAAAAATAGCCGGGCATTGTGGTATGCGCCTGTGGTCCTAGCTACTTGGGAGGCTGAGGCAGGAGACTTGCTTGAGCCCAGGAGTTGGAGGTTGCTGTGAGCTGTGATGCCATGGCACTCTACCCAGGGGGACAGCTTGAGGCTCTGTCTCAAATAATAATAATAATAACTACTGAGGTAGATAACACATGAAAAGACAGAGAATGAAAGTGGCTGGCACCCCAGAAGGCAGCAAACTGAGTGCAGCACACAGGACCATTCTGAACCCTGATGCTCTCCACAGAGCCCCTGTATACAAGGCACTATCATATGGGACTGCTCCTGATCCTGATCTTCCCCACAAGGCACCTGAGTCCTGATACCTTCCTCATTCAGACGCCTTGGACCCCTATACCCTACCCCTTAGGCCTGCCCTCCAGTCCCTAACATCCTCTCCTCACCCCAGCCCACTAACTTACCATAGGTGATGACTTTGCCCATGGGTTTAAGGAGGTTGTAGGCCTTGGCAGTATCTGACCCACCTAGAGGGTCCATGACAATGTCCACTCCTGTCACAGAGTAAGGGGGACCCAGGAACAACATTAGGATCCACAGATCTAGAGGACCTCCCCTTCCTGCCCTAAGCCCACTCCACTCCCATGCCATGCCCCCCACCTTTAGGGGAGATCTTCTTAATTTCATCCATGTAGTCAGTTGTATGGTAGTCAATGGGGTGTGTGACCCCATTCTCCTTCAGTGTCTCGTGCTTGTTGGCTGAGGCTGTTCCGAACACTGTCACATTCTCCACCGTGCGGCACAGCTGCACAGCTGCCATACCTACACCCCCTGCAGCAAGACACCCACAAGCTGGAGATAAGGAGTTGCCCTGTCACCACTCTCTGTTCTAGCTTCCCAGGAACCCAGCCCATCACCTTATTTTGTTTTGTTTTGTTTTGTTTAGTAGGGTTCGAACCTGCCACCCACCAGTGCACGGTGCCAACACTCTAACCATTGAGCTATGGGCGCCCAGCCCCCATAACCTTGTTTTAATCTAGGTTTACTTTGGGGCCCATGTTCAATCCCCCCATGATTGAGAATTGTGGGTAGGATATCTGAACAGGATTGGGTGCTGGATTGCTGAGAACAGCATACCAGGCTGGACCGGGTGTATGAATGTTACCACGGCAACTACACTGCAGAGGCCTCTGGGTGCCACAGGCCAAGGTGCCTGGTGTTACCATGACAACAGTCCAGACAGGCTGCAGGGAAGGGGCCTGGAAGAAAATCTGTGTGGGGTAAGGAGGGGGTTTAATGGGAGGTGGCCTATCACCTGCAGCCATGTGTACCAAGACGCTGTGGCCAGGCCGCAGGTTGCCAAAATCAAAGAGGACCAAGTAGGCTGTGATATAATTGACCAGCAAGGCAGCTGCTTCCTCAAAGGTCATGGCCTCAGGCATCACAAAGGTGTGGGTCGTGGGCACGGTCACCTCCTCCTGCCACATCCCTGACTGGTTCAACACCATCACCCGGTCCCCTGGCTTGAAGAACAGAAGGAAAGGAATAAAAGAAATTGAGTTATTCATTCACCTACAGGCAGTCTACTGACCTTTCACTAGTTAGGAGATCCTCTTCTTCTAGATGAAGTGGGAGTAGAAGTAGTAGTGGTAGCCATGGTAACAATAATAATGACAATAATGAATCATCATCAATACCATCTCCCTTTTTTTTTTTTTTGCAGTTTTTGGCTCGGGCTGAGTTTGAACCCACCACCTCCAGTATATGGGGCTGGTGCTCTACTCCTTTGAGCCACAGGCGCTGCCCCCCTTTTTTGTTTTTTATTGAGACAGAGTCTCACTTTATTACCCTCAGTAGAGTGCCGTGATGTCATAGATCACAGCAACCTCCAACTCTTGGGCTCAAGCAATTTTCTTACCTCAGCCTCCTAAGTAGCTGTGACTACAGGCGCCCGCCACAACACTGGGCTATTTTTTTTTTTTTTTTTTTGCAGTTTTTGGCCGGGGCTGGGTTGGAGCCCACCACCTCTGGTAAATGGGGCCGGCGTGTGGGCCCCACCGCCCGGCTATTTTTTTTTTTTTAGCAGGCCTTAGCCAGGTTCAAATCCATCAGCCCCTGAGCATGTGGCTGGCACCCTAACCACTGAGCTATGGGCGCCCAGTCCATCTCACCTTTATTGACTGCTTAGTGAGGGCCAAGCCTAACTTCAAGTGCTTTATTTATACATGTTCAAATAATCCTTACATCAGGTTTCTGAGGTAGATACCATCCTTATCTCCATTTTACAGACCTTGTACATCACTATTGTGTAAGATCCCTGAATGCAAGAAACTTACAGTTAGGGTAGATTGAAGTACTGTTGAAGAGATTAAATTGCTTTGGTTATAAAAATGGGCTCCACTATTTACTGCAGCATGACCTCAGGCAAATAAAAATTATTTAACTTTTTGAGCTCTAGTTTTCTTACCTGTAAGTTAGGGCAGCTATGAGGATTAAATGGGGAAAAAATTCATTCAGTGACCTTTAGCATAATATCTGGCACTCAGTAATGTTAGCCAATAATCATGATAAGAATAGCAGTAAGGAGGGGAAGTCACACAATCAAATAACCGAATGAAGGAAGAGGGTAGCTTGTAGTGAGGGCCATACCAGAGGGCAGGTAAAATTCTCTGAGCTTTGGGGGCTGGCATGATCCCCTCAGAAGTACCTGAGAGAGTACTGGGAACCCAGAGACCTACTTCACACAGTGGTGGTACTGGAGGGGTGAGGGACAGGGAGAGCCACACAGTGTCCCCAACAGGAAAGGAAAGGACTTTTTCCTCCTCCAGAGCCTCTTTGCAGAAGGGGGCAAAAATAACAGAATCTTTTCCTCCAGCTTATTAAGCGGGGTCAGGGAAGGGCAGTGGGAAACGGGAGTCTCAGGAGAAAGGAAGGCCTCTCTTCCCTCTCTGAAGAACACAGAGAGGGAGGTGTGGGTGCTGTTCTGGGACAATCCGGGTCTGTCTTGGTCCCTGCCAGGAATGATGGGAATTCTGTAAATAAATGAGACTTAGGGTCTGTGGGGAAGGGGGATAAGACTCCCACACATACCCCTTTTCATGTTCATGTCCTCAAGCCACCATCCATTGAAGAGGATGCCTGAGGGCAGGTTAGGGTCTTTCCCTGCAAGTTCTGGCCTATGATGAGGTGTGGGCTCTCCCTGAGACTCAGGACTAGCAGATGCAAAAACAATACAAAAGCGCTGAGAAGAATGCAGTGGTCAGCCAAGGTCATGGCCAGTACCCAGAACAAATCTCACTTGCCCTGTCTTATACCTAATCCTCAGCCCATCACAGGTCAGGGCCACTGGCCCCTCTTCAGCCCAGATATTAGGAGGGAGGGAGGCGGGAGAAAGGGAGGGCCCTCCTCACAGAATCCAGGCTCTTACATCAGATTCTTACCCTGGACAGGATATCCTGTATTTACCAGGCGGAAAGTGTGGGGAGGGGAGGTTAGGTGGGTGGCTTTCAGCAGTAACATGAACTACTACTCCCCTCTTCTCCCAAAAATTCCTCTTAGCACCTTCTCAAGAGTGGGATTATTTAGAAGTCAGTGTGAGGGTGGAGTCAGAACTGAATTCAGGGAGAAGCCCAGGAAGGAGGAAGGAGGAGCTGTTCGCAACAAATCCTCCTTTGGTAGCTGAGGCTGGCAGGTCTGGCTGCATCTGAGGGGCCTCTCTTGTAAGGGCCTGATCTGAAAAGAAACTCCTAAGTAAATGACTGAGGCCTCATCTCAGGTCTCTCAAAATGTTGATCATTCGGAACTCTCCTCCTGTGTCCAGGGTTGTGGCCAAGATTAACGATAAACGAGACAGAGAAACAGACTGGCAGAGCTGGGCCAACCTGCTCATGGTGCCACACCTCCCCACTCCAATCCAAATCCTTGACACCAGGATTTCAGAAATGGGGGTCCTCCTCTGCTACAAAGGCAGAGGAGGGTTCAGTCCAGATGTTCCCAAAGTCAGCCCCGGGTCATGGCCAGATGACTGAGTCACAGGAGACAGAAAGCCCCAAACAAAGATCCATTGACCCAGTCCCACTTCCCCCACTCCAAAACCAGACTGGCAGTGTAAGGCCAGTAGCAGTAGGGGACCGAGACTCCCTCTCCTCCATGATGGGTGTGTCTGGCCTCTTAGGCCCTGCTGGGGAGGGGCAGCCTCACACACCCACAGACCACGGGGGCTGCATGTGACTAGGGCTCTGGCACGGTCACTCTGCCCCCGCCCAACTCTGACTACATAGCTCCTCAAGCTCCCTCGTGGAAAGAGGACATTACCGTTTCCGTCACGGACCCTGGGAGTGTTTGGTGGGCAGGGGTACAGGTGTGGGTTTCATGGAGGCGGGGGGGGGGGTTGTAGGGTCATTGTGCGCATGCGCCTGGGCGCCTTATTGTTCCCCCCTTCCCACCACCATCACCCCGGTTGCTGTTTCAGGGCGGCAGCACCCACGACTAAAAATGGTTGAGGAAGGGAAGATAACTCCATCTTCCCCCTCTAAATAAGTCCCGTTCTCCAGGAGTCTCAAAACATAAGTTCCTTTCCTATGCCTTCCATGCGGGTCCAGCCACATTGGTGCCAGTTTCTCCCGCCCTGCCACACCCCCGGCAGCTGCCCACTCGTGCCCCATTGCCCGGTGGCCTGGAAAGCCCCTCCCAGCCCTGCCTGCGCTGGCCCGCTCACCTTGCGATCGCTGACTCCTTCGCCCACGGCGATTACAACGCCCGCGCCCTCCATTCCCGGAGTGACAGGCAGCGGTGGCAGCCGGTCGTACAGCCCCTGCCTGGCCATGAGGTCGGCGAAGTTGAGCCCGCAGGCCCGGACGCGCAGCGTCAGCTGACCTGGCCCAGGAGCTGGAGGAGCAGCCGGCCGGGTCTGCAGCTTCACCTTGTCATAGCCACCGAAGCCGGTGAGCACCAGACAGCGCAAAGGCTGCGGCGACGCGGCAACCACCCCCTCCTGGGCCGCCGGCGGCTGAGGGTCGTTCTCTGCCTCGGCTTTTGGTAGCTGCGAAGAGGCGTCTTCCCCCGCCCCTGCCTCGGCTGCCGCCTCCACCGTGGCCGCCTCGGCTACCTCTCTTTCAGCGGACATGGCTGGGACTCCCGACGTGTGCGCACAGCTGGACCTAGAGTGCGCAGCTGGGGAGGGCGGGGCGCGCGTCAGGAAGAGCCCAGGCAGCAAGCTCCGGCCTCCAAGCTCCAGAGGGAGGGACCGGGCGCCGGGCCAGGGGCGGGGCCTCGCTCGTGGACTTAAAGGGCCAGGACCTCCGCTGCGCAAGCAGCAACAACACTAAAAAAAACAAACTGGGAACGTCGGAGTGTAGTGTAGATAATCGTAAGGATATTCTTGGGGTTATGCAGATCATGATTTTAAAATTTAAAACTATGTTAAGAGGGCCAGGTGCGGTGGCTCAAGTCTCTAATTCTAGCACTCTGGTAGGCGGAAACGAGAGGATTCCTTGATCTCAGATGTTCGAGACCAGAGTGAGCAAGAGCTAGGCCTCCTGGCCCTTATCTCTCCACAACAATAGAAGAATTAGCCGGGCGTTGTAGCATGCACCTGTAGTCTCTGCTACTGCTACTCTACTCCGGAGGCTAAGGCAAGCGGATCACTGGAGCCCGGGAGTTTGAGGTTGAGGTGGGCTATGATGACTCCATTGCACTCTAGCCTGGACTACAGAGCTGGACCCTGTCTTAAAAACTAATCAAAAACTATGTTATGTTAAGGAGCAGTTTGAAGGACAATCCTATAACGAACTTACATAAAGATTTGGGGACTCGGCACCTGTGGCTCAAG